CGACTGCAGAGGGAAGGAAGGCTTATTTTGTTTGTGCTAAGAGCGATTCAAGACTCGATCCCCGGGCTATGCGTTTGTGGAGGTGCCACCTCCCTTTACACCATCTGCACCATAAAAAGAAATATATAAATAAATACATAGCCAAAATATATCATTTGTGGCTGTTGATCGTGGAAATTTAGCTCTTGAAAAGGCTTGTAGGATAAGAGAGCACATATGAATAGGTCTCTACAAGTTTTAAAAACATTTATAAATCAATAAAAAAAAGTAAACAATAACAAAGGGCCATTTGTTGCAAGTGGCGGTGGTAACTGAAAAGCTGAGGAGACCATGACTGTTGAATGTTCTCCGGAAGGTTTTCGAAACACCAGCTTAGTTCAATGAAAAACAAATAAATAGTCTTCTTGTTTTTGTCCTTTCCCTTTCGGATTAAGTGAAAGGGAACAGTCATTCTTTGTCCGTTTTCTCCAAGACCTGTCGCAATCCCATTCCAAGCACTTCCCCGTTCCCTTTACGTCTCAGCCTATCGGCCCGGCACTGAACTTGGGTGTGATTTGAAATAAATGCGGAACGCAAATGCGTCATTCGTATGTAAATGCAGCTGGTATGTTCAAACGCGTGCCGACACCACGTATCACTGACAGCCGACCGATGAAGACATCATGACGACAACGACGACGACGACGATGGCGGCAGCGGTGAATGATGTGCCCCCCGTCCGTCTATGGGGTGAACAGTCGGCGGAACGTNGGTATGTTCAAACGCGTGCCGACACCACGTATCACTGACAGCCGACCGATGAAGACATCATGACGACAACGACGACGACGACGACGATGGCGGCGGCGGTGAATGATGTGCCCCCCGTCCGTCTATGGGGTGAACAGTCGGCGGAACGTGCAATCATCCATGTGTACTTAAGATTCGCAAACCTTCAACCAACCTTGAGCCGATTATAATCATCTTCTCGCATGAGATAGACAAATACGATCCGCGCCGCGCCCTACCTTCATCAAATAACTGCTGTTATCGGGAAGATTACCAGAAAAAGCTAAAAAGACTTACCGATCCAACCATCATCACAGCGGCATGCATACTGTTCTAGATTGCCAGTGAGCACACATTTTCCATGATCACCACAGGGTGCCTGACGTCGACAAATGCTATCCAGAGCTTGTTCACAGTGCACTCCGGTAAAGCCTGAAACCAGCGGGTTGTTGGCAAGGAAAGGTAGGAAGGCCAATGAGTAAACTGCAAAGGACTCTGCCATCCACAAAATAGAACTGCGCCGAGCAGCCAGTTCTGGCCTGAGAATATAGAATTAAGGGTCCTGTATTGAGAATGATCCATCGGAGGTATCATGAGTTATTACAAGATTCGCAAGGTCCTGATGGTAACACTTCCGACCCTTTTTCACCTGGCCGCGGATTGAAGTTTCGCCTCTCAGACATTCCCAAGAGCTATGTCGTTTGAGGGCCATTAATATCAGTAGGTGATCCTGATATATTCATTATCCATCACATCCCACCCTGACGGAGCAACTGTTGCCCATAAATAACTATTAGCCACGGACGCTTACTATATAATACTCATCCTCGGTTAGTACTCATTAATTTCATGCGAAAAAACTGCTCACAATATGTCTGAATGGCCAGTGGTCGTAAAAAGAGCGCCTTCTCATAAATCTACTCTCCTCAGACCCAATGCAATGCTACTATACGGGCAGCAGCATATTGATGAGGAAGAGGTTATCGCTGCGCAGCCTTTTCCCATCCTCTGCCATCGTCAAGGTGGGCCAATGGAATTCTCAAGGGGTTTGAAGGAATTATGGAATCTCGTCAAAGAAGAACAAACAGTCACACTTGGATGCCATGCAAGGACGGCCAACTTTTTTAGTGGTTTTGTGAACGGACAGCATTGCTTGACCCTCCGGAGCCCGAATGTTAAGCCTTTCGCGTAGAGAGTAGTGATTGATGGCGGAAGGATTAGGTCAGTGCCACCATGTACCCAGACGTTTTTGAGCCCGGACCAAGGTTCAGTTGAAAACCCCGTCGCAGGTGAAGAGTGAGCCTGAGACTTTGATCCCACTTATGATTCCACTGCTGTCCTCTGCTAACTTTCTTTTTCAAAATATTACATCTCGTCCTACTCTTACGCCTACGAACGGAAGTAGAATCAAGCAGGAGGATCTGACGAAGGGAATGGGGTAAAGGCAAAGAAAGGAGATGGGAAGAAGAGGGGGGAAGGAATGGAATGATTCTCGATTGAAAGGCGTATCGACCGTTTCGAGTAACAGTCAAACATAACGCAGTGGCTGGAGAAACTTCCCAGTCATTGATGATATCTTATTTAGATTATCCTAAGTAGTACCAGTACAGAAACCTGACCGCAATAATCCCAGGGACCAGTTTTCGCCGGTTTCAGGGAATCGCTATGTTCCCACGCACGCAATAAACTGCCTCCAAGATCCGAACCTGGAGTAGAGTACCTGGCGTAAATTGGAAAAACCATTGAAAACCCCTTCATCCTTTTTGTTATTTCAAATATCGATCGAAAACAGAAGGACCGAGATGTTTTCGTACTGTCCGCGCATAGGTGTCGCAACATTCGCCATACAGATAAACCAGGCCTACTTAGGCATAAAGTGACAGTACAAAGATTTACGGTAGATAACCAACGATGCAGACTGATTGGCACAAGGTACGCATGAATGACAATTAATCGTGACCTGTGCTTTGATTCTAGAACTGCTCTAGTTCCTTCACAGTAATACGTCCACATTAACTCAATCTGATGGCTTACCTAATGGACATTGACAGCTGAAGGTGACGTTGTGGTCGTGTGAAACGCAGATGCCCTCATTTTGACACTCTTTTCCGCACATCGACTGATCACATCGATCACCTCTGTATGTCGGGAGACATCTGGAACGGAAATTGTTTATTAAATGAATTACTATGGTCACTGATAGCTAACAGGGTAACTGGCGGCAAGGGTAAAGGCACGGTTACCATCTGCATGATCGCAGGATTGAGCGCTGGTTGGTCCAAGGAAGTCTAGCAGCCTATCACCCCATCGGGTTTGAATGTTATGTATGAGCTCTGTATGAGCTATCGTTGGAAAACGAATTCTTCTCGGATACGCAGTGGCTGCCCCGTACTTTACCACGCCGGTATGCAAAGGGTAAGCATGGGAGATAGCGAAGGGAAAGAGGAGTCCTGGAGGAGGGTGATAGAGAAAGGGAAAACTGGTGAGTTATCATTAAGTAGTCAAGGTTATTGAAATTGGTGCCGATTGAGCCTTGGTGCTACCGTAGGGAAGTAGAACAGTAGCTGGAAAAACAGCAGGAAAGCATCGACAGATTTCTTTAATCACCTTCAGAAGCTACAGACCCTGGTGACTTTGAATGTTCTTCCAAGGTATAGCTCAGTCTCTTTGAGCTACTCTACCTAACCCTGACAGTTCATGCCACAGCCACCTCCATCTTTCGGTTTCTCATGGTTGTGTATTCGGGTGCACCTAGGTGTCCTTGAGATTACATGTCAAAATGGGAGTGGAATCCCACAGGGATCGGTCACCACCAAGCACTTTATCACAGATCCTTCTTATGTTCCGTTAAGTCTATTAATCTATTGGTGTCGTTTCTTTTTCACAGTGTCAGGATATACACGACACGTCCTTAGTGTCAGCGCATCGCTGAGCGCCGTCGCAAGCAACAAAGGACGTAATTTGAATAGGACAGATGGCCACGCAACAGCGTGGGAACCTTAAGTTTCCATCGAGAAACGGTATGGCTATGGCGGACGGACACGACGCAATCGGATACACAGACGCACGCAATAACAGAGGTGGCACAGCTACCACAAAGCGATCGTAAACGTATCCCCATATTCTCGCGCCTACAAAAGGGTGAAAAAAATCGGGAAAAAAGGGAACAGGATCAAATATTGATGAGAGAAATGAATCAGGACAAAACAACACCACAGTCTACCCCAACATACACGTAAGTATGAGCCACAATCTCAAGCTCCCTTTAGAAGGGGTAGTAAACATTTGAATGAGCAAGTGCTTTCCCCGTTTGGAGACTTTTCTCGGCTCCTGCTAGATCGTGTGATGTCTATATCCTGAACAGGGCTTGAGCTCATCGCTAAATTAAGGGCAAACCCCTTGGTCTCGAGCCCGCACCAGTGCTTTCCGGTATCATATCATCATCAGCTGGGCCTAGCGTAATTGCCCTTCGCACCGGCAAGTCCAGAGCAGTTGAGCTGCCCTAAAGAAGGAATTTCGATGTTCGGTTAGATATTAGATCAAGCTCATACAACACTACTGGTTTCTACTTAAATGCTTGAACTCCCTCTCCCGCTCCAGGTAGCATTCATTCGGAACTTCGAACAAAAACATAAATATGCTTAACGTATGAAGGTGATGTCAAAGTATCAGAATCTCAGAAAAACAAGAAGGTGACGGAGAGAAGCGGAAGTCACCACTCGAAACCAATCGCCAATTTGAAGGATTCTAATGGTTCGGATGCCCACGACCACCTTTTGTTGTGCGCTTTCCTTGATTACTGTGGAGGAAAAACTTTGGTGAGGAATTGCACCTTGACTAAAACCCAAAAAGGATTGCAAGAGCCTCCAGATAGGATGAATGAGGCCGACATGAACCAAAGAAATGAACTTAAAAAATGATAGTTAAAAAAATTTCTTGGGTTGTACTCACCTACACCAATGAGTGGAATTCACGCCTGGATAGCAGGTACCACCATTCAAACACGACTGCTGATTACATGGCCCTGAAGAAAAGGTTCGTTATTCACAATGGACTTGACATAAGTTACTTATCGCTCCTACTGAACTCACACGGCTACAGTATGCCACGTCTCGTGGCAGGAGTTACTGGAAGTTGTCATTTGCTGACAAGTGACTTCAATACGAAACAGTTTCTGTACCAGGCAGGTTTCCCAGCCAGTTGAATACTTTTTTCTTTGACATTCCCTCGAAAGGCAGCTACCTAATTTTTCTCAGAAGAATTAGTCATTTAGAACTTTACATTCAGCTTTTTCCCCGACATTTTGTCATTCGATGAGAGATTCGATCTCTATAGTTTATCACGAGTTGTTTCTGACGATAGTTCTAAAAGTCTTGAAGAATGATTTGAAGAAAAGTTTCAGCGCAGAAAAAACTGAGACATTTCCAAGAACCGTCTTATTTTTTTCTTTATTTTCAACTGACACTACTTCCTACTTCTTACTTGTGATTTATTTCATTTTCTACTTTAAAGAGCAGTTATTCCGCTATCTAAAAAGAGGTCTTGTCTGAGAGATGGAGAGTGAAAGTAGGTGGAGGAAGTCCGGGATAGTCTTGTCGGCAAAGTAAGCAATTAGGTAAATCAGAGAAGATAACGCTAATAATCGGTAATTGCAGAAGGGAAAGGGGTGGACGGGAATGAGCAATTACAGAGCTTAAGAAGAGTTTTTTAAGTTTGACTGTATTGAAAAAGTTGGTCTAGACTCTAAAAGGATCGAAAACTATGGCATATATTCATTTTGCACGGAGATTATTATTTTTTTTTTGATGACCGATAAATTCAAAATTTATTTGGACTCAGTACTAATTGCATTAACTAGGTAATCAGGCCTCTACAATGAATCTTGAGTACCAAAGATTTCTTTCCCCCTCAAAGGCAACCCCAAATTGTCGCAGTACTCCAAAATCAGCGAAGCATGTAAAAAACAATCGCCGAGGCGTTAATCGATCAGACATGCTGTTTGGCAATACGCCAAAGTTCACGTCGAGGTTCTCGAGATACTGTAGCCGTATTGCACTTCCATTCATGTGCCCTTATAGCCACACAAGGAAAAAATGGGAAAAGAACGTTGGCTCCAAAAAAAA